ATGAAGTTAGCAGCAGCAGCATTACCAGCAGCAGCAGCATTACCAGCAGCAGCAGCATTACTAGCAGCAGCAGCCCTCATAGCATTATAAGCAACATCTGCACAGCAGCAGCAGCAGCATTGGGAGCAGCAGCAGAAGCAGCATTGGGAGCAGCAGCAGCAGCAGCAGCACTATTGTGATCAGCAGCATCAGCTCTATTATGATCTGCAGCAGCACTCTTTTGACCAGCAGCGGCAGCATTATTATGAGCAGCAGCAACAGCATTACTATGAGCCGCAGCAACAGCAGCAGCAGCAGCAGCAGCAGCAACTTTGTTTGCTGTTATTAATTGGTAACCAAATGCATTTAATTCTTTTAAGTTTTCGGATTTCAAAAGTTCCGAAAGTTCCAGAGAAGGAGGCAGCAAAATACGCCCTTTAAACATTATCTGAAACGCAACACAAAGGGTTTAGGGTTTAGGGTTTAGGGTTTGGGGTTTCAAACCCAACAACCCCGAGGGTTTGGGGTTTAAACGCGCCGAAAATCCGAGGGTTTAGGGTTTCAGGGAGGCAAAAATCCGAGGGTTTAGGGTTTTGAAAGCGTATATTCTAAAGGGTTCAGGGCTTAGGGTTTAGGGTTTAGGGTTTAGCAGCACAAGAAGTTTGCGGGTTTAGGGTTTCAAATCTTTGACTTAAAAATTTTGAATTTTCAAATTTTGATTTAAAAATTCAAATTACGGAAATTCATATTTTCGACACAAAGGGTTTAGAGTTTATGGTTTAGGGTTTAGGGTTTAGGGTTTAGGGTTTAGGGCACATATTCACTTAACTCAAATTGGAGTTTAAGAAATTCAACTTTACGCAAAGTAAGATCAAACTAATTTGGTGTCTGAAGCCCAAGAGTCTTTGAAGTGCAGCAATTGAGCGGAAAATTCGGAAAATAAATGCAAAATTGCAAATTAAAAATCAAATTTAAATAAATAAATGAAAATAAAAACAAATTAAGGATAATAAATGCAAATTAAAGCAAAATAAGCGGACCACTGGTCCAGTGGTCAGACCACGCGTGCAGAACGGAAGAGCACTGCATTTCCGAATAACTTTGGCCCTGGTCTGCTTTTAATTGCAATTAAATTTGAAATTCGATTTAATTTAAACAAATTAAATTAAATTAAATTAAATTAAATCAAATTAAATCGATTTTAATTCATTTTAACTGCGGATTTCCCGGATTCGAGGCTGCAGGCCGCCTGCATGCGCTGCTGCGCAGCCAGCCAGCCCCGACCTCCCCTGCACTCACCAGCACCTCGAAAAGCTTCAATTCGTTTCTGTTTTCAATTAAAGATGAATTTTTATTCAAAACTTTCTTCGCAGTGAGTTTTATTTCGAGTTCGCTGCAGCTGCAGTCGGCCACGAGGAAGTCCAGCAGCCGCAGCAGCGCGGACCGCACCCTGCAGAACGCAGTCGAACTCTCGCAGTTCTTCAAAATTCAAGAGAAAGCGAACAATTTAACAAATTAATTTCAAATTAAATTCATTAAAGCCAACAAATAAACAAATTATTTGCAAATTGAAGGAATAAAACCCAACAAAAAGACGAAACTTGAACGGATCTGCTGGCGCTGACGACACGCACACGCCGGAGGCTCGTTCGCCGCCGGATTTCTTGAATTGAAGTGAATTAAACTCCATTTTGAAGGATTTAAAACAAATTAAATTCAACTTTGGAATTAATTTATTAATTTTTCAGTTTTTTTCCACAGTTAGGCGCTAAATTTGAGGCCTATTTGCCTGATTTTGTCCACGAGGATTCCGGTGGGGCAGCCGTTGGCGTAGGAGGTAGCTGCGTGTACACCTGAATTGCATTTCAAAAACGCCGAATTATTCCAAATTAAATCCAACAGAATTGTTTAATTATTATTAAATTACATTTATTTAATTAATTTGCTTCAAAAGGGAGAAAAAGGAAAAGATTGGCAGCAAAAAAAGCCAAATTCAACAATTTGAAACGCAAGTGCAAGTGCTGCTGCTGCTGTCGCTGGCGCTGCTGCTGCTGACGCTGCTGCTGCTGACTCTGCTGCCGCTCCTAAGCTACTACTACTACTCCTGCTGCTGCTGCTGCTGCTGCTGCTGCTGCTGCTGCTGCTGACCTCTGGCCCTGAGTTCGTGTCTGTAGACCTCGAGGCAGCCATCCAGCAGAGTTCGAATTGGAATTATTTCTTTTGTGTCAACAGAAGACTGCAGCTCCAACCCCACATGCAGCGCAGCAGTGTGGCTTTGCTGCAGCGCCTGGTGGATCGAGGCCTCCATCATCCGCATCATCTGCATCAGCGCAGGCTGCAGCAGCAGCAGCAGCAGCAGCAGCAGCAGCAGCAGCAGCAGCAGCAGCGGCAGCAGCAGCAGCAGCAGAAGCGGGGGGAGGCGTTGCGGACTGGTGATTCGTTTGTTGTCTCGTCTTTTTGCTGTTTATTTGTCCTTTATACCCTAAACTCAACTGCTGCTGCCGCTGCTGCTGCTGCTGCTGCTGCTGCTGCTGCTGCTGCTGCTGCTGCTGCTGCAGTTACCGGAGCTTCGGAAGCAACTAAGATGGACTGAATGCCGCAAATGAGTTTTAGGCGGCCCAAAATTCTTTGCTCTGTTACGCACTGCAGCACCATGACTAAGTTCTCGAGTTTGCGCTGCAGCACCTGTTGCAGCAGCAAATAAAGCAGCAAATGAATTAATTAAAAAACAAAATTAATAATAAATTTAAATAATTATTTATCATAAATCTGAATCCATGACAGCAATTCGGACTCGGGCGCTCATTGAGGCTTTGATTATTTGCTGCAGCATGCAGCAGCAAGTTTGGCAGCAACAAAGCAGTTGCAGCAGCAGCAGCAGCAGCAGCAGCAGCAGCAGCAACAGTAGTAGTATTAGCAGCGGCGCAGTGGCAGCAACAGAAGCAGCAGTAGCACAAGCAGTAGTAGTAGTACCAGCAGCAGCAGCAGCAGCAGCAGCAGCAGCAGCAGCATAGGAAGAATCAACGCATGCAAGCAAGCAAATTGACCGCTGAAAAAGCGAACAACCAAATAAAAAACAACAAATAAACAAAAAAACAAATTAGTTAATTAATCAATTAGACAAATTAACTAATTAATTAATCAAACAAATTAATTAATTAACTAATTGATTTAATTAATTAATTAAACAAATTGACTAATTAATTAACCAAACAAATTAATTAATTAATTAATCAAGTAATTAATTAATTAAACAAACTAAATAACTAATTAACTACTTAATTAATTAAATAAACTAATTAACTAATTAATTAATTAATTAGTTAATTAATTAATTAATTAATTAATTAATTAATTAATTAATTAATTAATTAATTAATTAATTAATTAATTAGTTAGCCTCGCCTGGTCAATTCTTTGCAAGTTTCCCCAGAGGTGTTCAAATCTTTGTCGAAAAGCTTTTTCGAATTTGTCTTTTCTTTTCCAAAGCGCCAAAGAAATTAAATAAATCAAAACCAACATCAGCACTGGCACCAGCGTGTTCCCCTCGCGGTTTTCATATGCTGCACGCACCCCCACCTCCTGCTGCTGCTGCTGCTGCTGCTGCTGCTGCTGCTGCTGCTGCTGCTGCTGCTGCTGCAGCTGCAGCTGCTGTTGCGTTTGCTGCAGCGCGCGCAGGCCGCTGCCGCTGCCGCTGCCGCGGCGCGCCGCGCGAAGCGCCCAGCGAGGGCCTTTAGGGTTTAGGGTTTAGGGTTTAGGGTTTAGGGTTTAGGGGTTACTTTTGATGGTGTTGTTGAGGGCCTCGAGCTGGACCGTGGTGTCGTGGATGAGCTGGACTTCCTGGTCCTCGAGAGCCGCAGCACACCAGTGGTTTTTGGAAGTTGTTTTGGTTTCAATTAATTGAAAGACTTTGTCAATGAACTGGACTTTGCGTTGGGTGTACGCGAAGACACTGGGCGCGAGGTGTCTAGACACCCGAGCCAGCAGCGCCGCCAGCTCCCGCCCGCAGCTGTAAACCACTTTTGTTATTTCCGAAAAAGAATTCCCCAAAAGTTCTCCCGAGGGCTCTTCAAAGAAATACAAATCTTTTCGATAAATGCAAAGAGAGGGGGCGAAGGCCTTCACAGCCTCCATCAACGCAGCCCGCTCGCTGCTCCCAAACTCCTGCTGCTGCTGCTGCTGCTGCTGCTGCTGCTGCTGCTGCTGCTGCTGCTGCTGCTGCGCGCTGCGGACCAAGTCGCCGTAGCAGAAGGAAGCAGGTTTGGAGGAAAAGACTGAAAATAATGCATGTTGGTATTCCAAATAAGCTCCAGTTTCTTTGTTGAGGTGCAGCACAGCTTCTTCCACCCACTGCTGCAGGATCGAGCTGTATATACACCGCGCAGTCTCCCCCAGCAGCAGCAGCAGCAGCAGCAGCAGCACAATGTACGACGGCAGCACGCACCGCGTGTGCGACCGACGCAGCAGCTCCTGCTGCGCCACAGGGTCGTTCGGGTCTGAATCGCCACCACCAGCAGCAGCAGCAGCAGCAGCAGCAGCAATGGAAAAGCAGCAGCAGCAGCAGCAGCAGCAGCAGCTGCTGCAGCAGCAGCTGCAGCAGCAGCCAGCGCCACCCTTCTGCTCTGATTCGTCAACTGAGCGAAGGCGAATGAAAAATTTAACACCAGATATATAGCTAGCTAGCTAGCTAGCTGAAGGCCTAGAAAGCTAGCTAGCTAGCTAGCTAGAGAGCTGCAGAGCTAGCCAGCTAGCTAACTAACTGGCTATCTACCTAGCCAGCTAGCCAGCTAGCTAGCTAGCTAGCTGGCGCAGAGAGGAAGGCGGCTAGAGTGTCTCAGTGGCCAGAGTTTTCCAGCTGCATTTGCCATTTAAAAAATAATGAAAAGATGAATTTCTAAATGCATTAATGAACAAACTAATTAACTAATTAATCCACAAATTAATTAATTAATTAATTAATTAATTAATTAATTATTTGTTAATTTGTAATTTGTTTTTTTTTCAAGTCCGCCTCTTTTAGCTCCCGAGAGGAGCTTCTCCAGGTGTCTGTACACCCGAATTCGGTGGCTTTATTTGCTGCTGCGTTTTTTTCAAAAAGTTTTAAATTATTTTTTCAGAAATAAATAAAAATAATAATTAATTTTGTTGCTAAACAAAACTTTTAATGTTTGTTTTTGAATTTTGTCTGTTGGCTTTTTCATAATTGGTCTTTGTTGCTAATTTTTGTCGAAAATAAATCCTTTTAATTAATTCTTTTTAATTTCAATTAATTCTTTTTATTAATTCTTCCAAATAATGCTTTTAATTGTCTTTATTGTCCTTTCATTGCCTTTACCTGGAGGAGCAGCAGACTTGCGCTTAAAGAAATGCCACCAGCGGTGCTGCTGCTGCTGCTGCTGGTGCTGCTGCGCTGCAGCTTTTGGCTCGTGCATGTTTGCTGGGGTGTACGTACACCTGGCGTTCGCCGCAGCAGCTGCTCAGTCCCAAATTTCGATTATTTTATTTTTATTTTCAACTAATTTGCCTTTCCTGACTCTTAAAATGTCCCAAATCAATTTTGACTTCCACTTCGCCTTTATTTCAAAAGGTTTCAGCGCAGTAGCTGCGGTGTACGTACACCCCAGCTCTTGCGCCTGGCCGGCCGGGCGCTGGATCTGACACTTCGGAGTTAATTTTCTTTCTTTTTCTTTTTCCCTTTTCTACATTTTGGCCTTTAAAAACAAAATATTTAATTTAAAACGAATTTCCACTTCTTTCTCCACTCTCTTCGATCACGGCGAGAGCGCCGGGGCTGCTGCCAGCCGGTCGAACGCAGCGGAGCAGCGGCTTCTTGAAAAGCGTTTTCTTTCCGAAAACCTAAAAATTAAAACTAATTTCAACTTTTAAATCCAACAATTATCATTTTTTGCAAAAGACTGAACTTGAACGCCGCCAGCGACTGTCCCGGTGGCTGCGCGTGCCGTCGGGTGTATGTACAGCTAGTTGTCTTCACTCTTTTTGCTTTTTCGATGACACCGAGCCTTTCCATTTATTCATTTTTAAAGATCCACTTTATCAAGAGCTCCAAAGCCCGCGCTGCACCTGTGCTGGCTGCTGCGCGGCTGCTGCTGCTGCTGCAGCAGGGGGCCCTCACTGCATGCGCTGCAGCAGCAGCAGCAGCAGCAGTCCTGCTGCTGCTGCTGTGGGGCCCCCCTTTGGCCTTTTAATGTTTACCGCCTCTAAGGAACCTTCTTTGAGTTCTTGTGTGCGCTAGGGACTCCTTTTTAAAAGGGGGGGCGGAGGCAATGGTTTAGGGTTTAGGGTTTAGGGTTTAGGGTTTAGGGTTTGCAGCGCAGGGGCCTCAAGGCCACACTCGACTTCAGCCTTCAGCGCTTCTTGCGCCTCTTCCCTTTCCCTCTTTTTATCTTTTCAGCGGCAACAAGCTCCAGGAAACAGGGGCTAGGGTTTAGGGTTTAGGGTTTAGGGTTTAGGGTTTAGGGTTTAGGGTTTGAAGTCATGGCAGAGCTGTCAGAGAACTGGCGGCCGCAGCAGCTGCTGCAGTCCTTCTGCAGCCAAGCCGCATCCGTGACTGTGCTGCGTCTCAGCAGACCAGCAGCAGCAGCAGCAGCAGATGCAGCAGCAGCAGATGCAGCAGCAGCAGATGCAGCAGCAGCAGATGCAGCAGCAGCAGAGCCACTCGACGTTCTTCTTTCCCTCTACGGGGACTCTCTGTGCTGCGCTTTGCTGCCTGAGTCTGCGCGAGCAGCAGCAGCAGCAGACGCTGCAGCAGCAGCAGCAGCAGCAGCACCACCGGAAGCAGCAACACCGGCAGCAGGAGCAGCAGCAGCAGCAGCAGCAGCAGCAGCAGCAGCAGCAGCCGAGCTGCCTCCCTACCTGCTGCAGCAATTCTGGGGCCCTCTGCGGCTAACAGACGAAGCAATTGACGAGCCTGTTGCAGCCTTTGCTGCTTGCCCCCTAGTACCCAGCAGCAGCAGCAGCAGCAACAGCAGCAGCAGCAGCAGCAGCAGCAGCAGCAGCAGCAAAAAGAAGCGAAAAGAGGCAAGAGAGGCAAGCCCCTCTCTGGCTCTGGTGCTGACTTGTGGGGCCAGCGGACTGCTGCGGCTGCTGCTTCTGAGCCTCAAGCCTCTGCTGCAGCAGCAGCAGCAGCAGCAGCAGCAAGAGCCGCAGCAGGAGCAGCAAGATCCTGCGCTGCTTATTGCAGCACAGCGGCTCGGCAGCAGCAGCAGCAGCAGCAGCAGCAGCGATGGCAGCCTCCAGCCCTGGGCGCGCCTGCAGCAGCTGCAGAAGTGGAAGGCAAGCGGCGCTCTTGCTGCTGTTGCTGCTGCTGCTGCTGCTGCTGCTGCTGCTTCTGTTGCTGCTGCTGCTGTTGCTGCTGCTGCCGTTGCTGCTGCTGAAGCTCACGTGACGTTGCTTGAGGCTCGTAGAGCCTTCAACTTAGGGTTTAGGACTTCGCGCTCAGGGATTAGGGTTTAGGGTTTAGGGTTTAGGGTTTAGGGTTTAGGGTTTAGGGTTTGGGGCTTTCTGCTGCAGGGAACTTCGAGTGTTGCTCGCGTTGTCGCCATTTCAGAGCCTCTAGCTATATTTGACTCAGCAGCAGCAGCTGCTGCTGCTGCTGCAGCAGCAAGTGGTGCAGCAGCAGCAGCAGCAGCAAGGCCAGTGCGCGTTGCTGCAGTTGGCTGCATCGGCGGCGAAGTCGAGCTGCTGCTGCTGCAGCAAACAGAAGCAATTCCTTGCTGCTCGCTGAAGCATCCAGCGTCAATTACAACTCTCAAGTAAGGCCACTGCTGCTGCTGCTGCTGCTGCTGCTGCTGCTGCTGCTGCTGCTGTTGCGGCTGTTGCGGCTGTTGCTGCTGCGGCTGCTGTTGCAGTGACACTGTTGTTCCTAGTTCAGCTGCTGCGGCGCCGTTGTTGCTGCTGCAGCTGCTGCTGCTACAACTGTATTTCTTACAGCAGCAGCAGCAGCAGCAGCAGCAGCAGCAGCAGCAGCAGCAGCAGCAGCAACAGCAGCAGCATGAGGCTTCCACCTGTAGAAGGTTCTCTGGTTCCACTTCAATGCAACTAAACCTTCTGTTGCTTATTCGTTTTTTCTGCGCTGCTGCTGTTGCTGCTGCTGCTGTTGCTGCTGCTGCTGTTGCTGCTGCTGCTGTTGCTGCTGCTGCTGCTGCTGCTGCTGCTGTGGGTGTTCAGGTTTCACCCCACAAGGGCCTTGCTGGCTGTAGGGGCTGCTGACGGTTTGCTGCGGGTATATGATGTGTCGTTTGCTGCTGCTGCTGCAGCAGCAGCAGCAGCAGCAGGTTCTGCAGCAGCAATAGCAGCAGAACATGTCCCCTACATTACTCTAAGTGACCACATGAGCAGCATCACTGCGCTTTCGTTCCTCAGCGCTGCTGCTGCTGCTGCGCTGCAGCAGCAGCAGCAGCAGCAGCAGCAGCGGCGGCACAAGGCTGAGCAGGAGACTCGCAAAAAAGCAACAGCAGCAGCAGCAGCAGCAGCAGCAGCAGCAGCTTTTGATGACTGTTTAGTGTCTGCTGCTAAAGACTCTCTCATTAATGTTTGGGCGCTGAGGCCCCTTCCGCAGACAGCGGGGCTGCTGCTGCTGCCGCAGCAGCAGCAGCAGCAGCAGCAGCAGCAGCAGAACGAGCAGCAGCGGGTGCAGCAAATCAAGAAGAGCGCACTGCAGCTCCAGAAGCGGCTGCAGTTCCACCAGCAGCAGCAGCAGCAGCAGCAGCAGCAGCAGCGGCAGCTGCTGCTGCAGCTGCCAACAATAGAAACCATAACAGCACTTGCTGCTGATGCAGCAGCACCGCTGCTGCTCTCAGGGGGCTCTGAAGGCCTCGTGAAGCTGTGGGATTTGAGGAAGAGACAACCAGTCCAGGTTTGCTGCTGCTGCTGCTGCTGCTGCTGCTGCTGCTGCTGCTCGTGCTGCTGCTGCTGGTGCTGCTGCTGCTGCTGGTGCTGCTGCTGTTGCTCGTGCTGCTGCTGCTTTTGCTGCTGCTGGTAGTAGCAGCAGTAGTAGTTTCACTGCTGCTGCTGCCGGTAACTGTAGTGAAACAACCGTTGCTGCTGCTGTTGCTGCTGCTGTTGCTGCTGTTGCTGCTGCTGGTACTGGGTGCAGTGGCGATGCTGCTGCTACTATTTTGCGTTGCTGCTGCTGCTGTTTTACGTTGCTGTTGCTGTTGCTTCACGTTGCTGCTGTTGCAGCTGCACTCCAGGCAGTTCTGCTGTTGCTGCTATCCGTATTGGCTGCTGCACAGCAGCAGCAGCTGCTGCTGCTGCTGTGCCTCCTCGTCAAGGCGCAGCAATTGCTGTTTCCCCCTCTGCTGCTGCTGCTGCTGCTGCTGCTGCTGCTGCTGCAGGTGATGGCAACAACAACAACAGCATCAGCAGGGGCCTCGTCTGCAAGCGAGGAGGACCTGGGGGCTTTTATCCGCACGCTGCTGCTGCTGCCCGCAAGCAGCAGCAGCAGCAGCAGCAGCAACAGCAGCAGCAGCAGCAGCAGCAGCAGCACGCTGCTGATTGCCCAGGACTCCGGCGTTATATCTCTCGTGTCTCCGCTGCCAGGCCTTGCTGCGCTGAGCGCGAAGGGAGGAGCAGCAGCAGCAGGACGCGCAGCAGCAGCAGCAGCAGCAGCAGCAGCAGCAGCAAGCAGCAGCAAAACAACAGCAGTGTGTCTCCTCGGGCGCCTTGATGGGACCTTCGCCTGCCGCTGGCTGCCACAGCCCCCCAGTGGCTGCTGCTGCTCCTTTTGCTGCTGCAGCAAACGCAGGCAGCAGCACTACTCCTCCAGTAACCCTAAACCCTAAACCCTAAACCCTAAACCCTAAACCCTTCGGCGCACCGCAGTCACCCCCGCACACACCTCGGTGTTTGGGACTCAGGATTTAGGGTTTAGGGTTTAGGGTCTAGGGTTTAGAGTTTAGGGTTTAGGGTCTAGCGCCTAGGGCTTAGGCTTTAGGGTCTAGGGTTTAGGGTTTAGGGTTTAGGGTTTAGGGTTTAGGGTTTGTTTGCAGGCTACCCCGGGCGGCTTCTGGTGCTGACGGGCGACAGCTGCTGCTGGCAGCTGGATTTGGCTGAGGGGTCTTTTGGGGCTTTTCCTGTTGCTGCTGATTTGCTGAAGTTTGGCCAAGTTGAACAAGTGCAGCAGCAGCAGCAGCAGCAGCAGCAGCAGCAGCAGCAAACTCAGGCAGCTGCGGTCTCGTGCTGCGACGTCTCGAAGAATGGTCCGCTGCTGCTCTTGTCACTGCTGCTGCTGTTGCTGCTGCCCTCTCTGCTGCTGATGCTGCCCCTGCTGTCGCTGCTGCTGCTGCTGTAGCTTCTGCTGCTGCTGCAGCTGCTGCTGTTGCTGCTGCTGCCTCTGCTGCTGCTGCTGTCGCCTTTGGCTCCATTTTGCCCCTTTTAACTGCTGCTTTTGGCTGCTGGCGTTGCTGCTGCTGCTTCGCGTGGCGCTGCTGCTGCTGCGCCGCTGCGCCGCCGCTGCCAAACCCTAAACCCTAAACCCTAAACCCTAAACCCTAATGTGGTTCTTCAGGCTGCTGGATTGTAACTGGAGGAAGAGATGGCTCGCTGAGGGTTTGGCACTCCGCAACAAATCGGCTTTTGCTGCTGATTGAAAAAGCCCACGAGGGCTGCGTCACTGCAGTGGCCTTCCAAAGAAAGAACTGGTCTGCTGCTGCTGCTGCTGCTGCTGCTGCTGCTGCTAGTGTTGCTGCTGCTGCTAATACTGCTGCTGCTAATCCTGCTGCTAGTGCGTATGCTAAATCTAGTGCCGCTGATGCGAGTGCTGCTGCTGCTGCTGCTGCTGAGGATGGTTTTGCTGCTGCTGCTCCTGAAGATTTTCCTCTGCTGCTGCTGCTGCTGCTGCTGAGGATCCCTCTGCTGCTGCTGCTGCTGCTGCTGCCTGGCGCAGAATTTGCTGCGAAGGGAGATATGAATTCTTTTGTGTTTGCTGCTGCTGTTGCAGGCCAAAGGCAAGCCCCGTGGTGCGTCAGCCTCCCCAGCAGGAGCAGCAGCAGCAGCAGCAGCAGCAGCAGCAGCAGCAGCAGCTGGACTGTTTGTGTGATTGCCGAGGCCTCTCGCCAGCAGCACCTCAAACCCTTTCCTTCATTTCCTGCTGCGACAAAAACAGTTTGCGGCTGTGGCGGGTGGAAGTGCCTGCTGAGTTTATCTTGGGCAGCAGCAGCAGCAGCAGCAGCAGCAGCAGCAGCAGCAGCAGCAGCAGCAGCAGCAGCAGCAAGCAGCAAGTTAGCTACGAGTGCATCTCCACCATTGTCGCCCACAAGAAGGAAATTAATGACCTCAAATTCGCCCCCAACGACTCCGTAAACCCTAAACCCCAAACCCTAAACCCCAAACCCTAAGCCCTAAACCCTAAACCCTAAACCCTAGCTCGCCTTTAAATGCTTCGCATTGCGGACAAAGCGTGTCCCGCCACAGCCTTCGCACTTGGGGTTAAAGAACGGGTTTCCGCGCCTCGGGTCTAGGGTTTAGGGTTTAGGGTTTAGGGTTTAGGGTTTAGGGTTTAGGGTTTAGGGTTTAGGGTTTGGGCGTTGCAGCTGGTGGGAACTGCGAGCGCGGACAAGACTTGTTTGCTGCTGCTGCTGCCGACCTTAGCTGCTGCTGGCGAGCTGCGGGGCCACCGGCGAGCTGTTCAAGAAATTCAGTTTTTGAAAAGAGAAAAAGCAGCAGCAACAGCTTCGCTGGACTCCACTGTGCGCCTCTGGAGCCTTGCTTCCTTCACCTGCCTCAAGACTCTCCAGGTACTGCAGCAGCAGCAGCAGCAGCAGCAGCAGCAGCAGCAGCGGCAGCAGCAGCAGCAGCGG